GGGTGAGCCCTGTCGGCTTCCCAGTGCTATCCAGGCTGATTTGGATATTATTAGCTTTCTGGCATCAGTCAAAGTGCATGGAGTGCGGCCTTCCAGGGACCACGAGCCAGAACCTGGCCCCCTCAGATGAGGCACAAGGAGCAATGGCCTATAGAAACCCTGTGTGGTTGGGAGCATTCTATGTCTGCCATCGCTCAGACCTGGCACCCAGAAAGAAAGGTGCCCTAAAACAAACCCCTATTCTGGTGAAAATATTGCTCCCGAAAGCCGAACGAGTGGACAGAACTCCCCAAACGAAAATTAGCAAAGGAGCATGACGACGTCATGTTGCCGTGCCGCTGTCTGCGCAACACACACACCCCCGGGAGGGGTAAAGGGGAGCCCCAGACCCTCGCGCTTGCAATCCAACCAACAGTTTTTGGCTGATGTGCTGCTGGCGTGGTCTTGTGCCTTTGGCTCCTGAATTGGTCTCAGTTTGTGTCTTGTGGCATGGTCTGTCTCTACAGGTAGTGTGTGAGCCAGGAGTAATATTCCACGGTACTTAGGCTGCATGCGCCTAGGGTTTCCTTCCCTAAGTGCCCGCTAAGTACTGCCCTTAAGGCCACCTTCCACAAGTCGCCTTGGGACCTACCTCCGCTGTGTCTTTCACTGCTTGGTACTTGGCCGCCCTCTTCAGCTGTTGCCCTGGTTTGCCTCTGGGTACTAGGTAGTTTTCATCACTGGTAGGGGCACAGGGTACTGCACAGCTAGTTAACACCTCCTATAGCAACCGGCTTTGTTCCGCCTGGTTACATTGTCCTCTTGTGGGTTTTTTTTTTTTTGTTTTTATATTCCTTCCTGGTGAGGGGGGGGGGAGGTCTGCCTTTGGTTGGTTGCCCTCTACCTATAAATGGGGGTCTTTATATAGATACATCTGTATTCTTGGTGGTACCCCCTGCTAGGCCCCCGTGAGTGGACACATCCCAGGGGTTCAGCTTTCAGAAGTTTGATTGGTAGTCTTGGGCACCAGTTTGCACCCTGCCTGGGCTTCCCTTAACGTGTTACCAAGGTTAAGGGCCCTGGGAAACCCCGTGGGTGCTCCGTGGTCCGATGGATGTGACCCTTGAGTCCCCTCTCACTTTGTGCGAGGTTGATGGTTGCTCTGTCCTCTTGTCTCAGGATGACAATCACTGGTTGTGCCTCTGCCATGCTGCCTGTAGGGTCGGTGATTCTTCTGACCCAGAGTCGTGTGACATTTGTTGTTTGTGCGTGCTCCAGTTCACCCATGCTACTGATCATGATACAAGGATGCAGGCAGCAGAGGCGTTGCATGCTTGGTTTAGGTTGCTGCAATACGCTAGGTTTGTTCCTTCCCTAGATTCTCTGAAACTGCCCCATTTTGGTTACAGGGACCTGGATTTGGGGGTGGGAGTCACTTTGACATTGGTTCCGTCTGCCCCTCCTTGTCATTCCCTTCGGTGGTTCATCTGGTCCCCACCCCCCCCTCCCCCCTTGCTTCCGGCTCTGAAACGTCTGAGGGTTTCGGAGTCGGGGCTGGGTTTAGTTGGTGTTGAGACTAGGGTGGTCTTGGGGAAGTCATCTTCCGGGGTGGCAGCGGAGGCATTCGACCCTAGTCTTCCAGCCGGAGCTACTGGGGTCTGACTAGTGGGGCCCCTTTGTTTATGCATTTTCAGCTGCTCCTGCCTTTTCTTTAGAAGCCAGGTGGGTTTTGGAGGGCGGCTCTGCCCCGGGTCCTCGGGGTGAGGTTCTCGAGGCGGGGGACAAGTTGTCTTGGGGTCTTAGGCCCCATTGGACCCATCCTGGGATTTTGTACCTTCAGAGCAGGGCTTGGTGTTACAAGGAGAGGGAGATCTCATTCACTCCCTGTAAGAATTGGATATGGCCTCTGCCCCTCCCCGGGTTCGGTTCCATGATCCCATGAGTTTCTCGGTCCCATCCTTTCCGGAGGTTTTCGGCTCCCCGCTTCCCGTCACATGTGGTGCGGGAAGCCCTTGCAGCTTAAATCCTGCGTGACCCGGATTATGCTTTCGTGATGGATCTGCATTCCTTTGTGTATGGATCTTCGTGTCTATACTGGGTTCGTTAAGAAGTTCCGGAGTCATCATGGTTAGCAGGCTGCCCGCTCTTCTTGTTGGAGCCTTGGGACACATTCTGGTGATCCTGCGCGCTTGAGTGGGAGTGGAGGGAGGCTCAGATGGCATTGCTGGTTTTCCTGGGGGGAGTGCCAATTTGAGCATCTCGGTGCATGTTTGTTCGCCCCTCCCCTTCTGTGGAATGTTGGTGTGATGCTCCTTCATGTGCAAGTTCCTTCTCTTTCGGCTGCTTTTGTTGCGGAGGATTTGCATACACGTGGCCTGCTGGCTTTGGCACTGCGTTTCTTCTCCCTCATCGAGCTGTCCTTGGATTGGCTCGAGTTGGATGTGGAGGAGCTTGGGGCCGCCTCTGGGTCTGGTGCATTAACCTCGGCGGTGCGTGCATCGTCTGCATTGTTGCTGTTTGCGTCGCTCCTGCGGGATGCGGTTTCACAGTTTTTTGCTTCTCAACTCGTGTTGGCAGGCAGTGCTAGCTTTTTCCTTGGAATCTGCTTGGGCCCTGGCCCTTAGGTTGTCTTCGCCTTTTTGTCCAATGGTGTCTGCAGAGTCTGCAGTTGTGCAGTATCTGCAGGCAGCTTTGGTTAGTTGCCGTCCTGTGTCAGACTTGTTAATCCTTCAGGGGGGGGGGGGGCTCATGGGGGGCCTTCCTGGAAGGGTCGTGCCAGGACTCTGTTTTCTTCCCGTCGTGGTCGGCCAGTGGGGCCAGATTCAGGACAGTTGGCACCTTCGGATCTGTCTTTTTCTGGTCGGCGTGGGAATTGCCCTGTGCTCTGCTTAGGTTCTCGTAAGATGTGTTGGCCCTTCTGCAGTTCGTCCCATTGATGGGGGGTTGGAGACTTGCTCTGTTTGCTCATGCCTGGTTCCACGATTTGTGGGCCTTTAGGGTCGTTTTGTGTGGCCTGTGGTGGCATTAGGTGGCTCCTCTTCTTTCAGGGGATTCGGGATGGCGCTCTGTCGAGTCGTCTTAGAGTGGGTTCGCTGTGGCATGATCGAAATGGCTTTTTCTCTGGTGGGTGTCCCGCCTTTTTCCGGTTCTGATACAGGACTGCACAGACCTCAGGTTCATTCTGTATGTGTCCCATCTGAACCCGTGGGTTTATTGCCCCTCTTTCCGGATGACTACTCTTTCCCAGGTCAGTCTTCATTTGAAGCCGGGCGCTTGGATGTTGTCCCTGGACCTCAAGGATGTGTATTGGCATGTCCCGATTCATCTGAGGTTCATGGACTGGCTCAGTTTCATTGTGGGCATCAAGGTTACCGCTTTCATTTCCTTCTACACAGCTTGAATCTGGTGCCTTATGTTTTCACACGCCTTACTCGGGTCGCGATGGCCTGTCTGCATCTGTTAGGTGTTTTAGGTTCTGGCCTACCTGAACGACTAGCTGGTTTGAGCTCCCATCCAGTCTGAGTGTCTGCTCACCAGGGATCTGTTTTTTTCCCAGCTTGCAGGGTTCGGGTTCCTGGTGAACTGGCGGAAGTCCCACCTGGTTCCCTCTCAGGCTCTGTCTTGGCTGGATCTTATGGGGGACACTCGGACCGCTTCCTTGTCTTTTCCTCCGGTGGCTCTGCTTCGCCTGCATTACCGCCTTCGTCTGTTCCTGAGGGTTTCCTGGGTCACGCGGCGGTTGCTCAAAGCTTTTTTGTGGGAGCCTGAACTTTGTAATTATGGTATATCCGCCAGGTTGGTTTTGGCTTCGTCGGCTGTTCTTGTTCCTTTGGGGACATACCGTCCGCCTCTCTCACGACCTCTGGGTGCTGCTGCATCACCAGCTTCCTCTTCGGGTTTTTCAGAGGTTTAGTGACTTGGCGCCAACCCGAGCACTCGCCCAATGTGTTCACAGACGCGTCGTCTCTGAGGTGGGGCTTTGTGACAAGTGTTTACCAGGTCAGCCAGGGACAGTGGGGTCCATCCTTCTGTGAGGCCCACAGCATTGTGCGAGAGTTTGCGGTGGTGTTTATGTTGCTTCGGAGGGTTTGGGTTGCTCGCAGATCGCCAATTGGGCTCCATTCAGACTGCTCCCCGGGGGTTCATTGCCATAGCCAAGGGGGGTTTGATGCAGTCCTTGGCTCTTTGGGGCTGGTCGTTTCAGGTGATTCGTCTGCTGAGTTCTTGGGTTTGGCTCTCCTGGCTGTTTACGTTCAAGGGGTGTCCAACGTCCTGGCAGATGGCTTTTCATGGTTCATTCCCCTGTCCATGGAATGGACGGTCAAAACAGACTCATTTCGTTGGCTCTGCTGGACGTACGAGCTCCTGGAGGTGAACCTACTCGCGTTGGTGCGGTTAAAGCGTCTCCAGGTATACATGGCATCTTGTCCCGACTGCGAGGCCGTCTGGGTCGATGCCTGGCAGTTGGACTGGTCGAGGTGGGGTTACCTGTACCTCTTCCTCCCGGTTCAGCTGTTGCTCCAGGTCCTAGCTCGCTTGAAAATTTTACAGGGGAGAGTAGTCCTCTTAGCTTAGCTTATAGAGAGTAGTCCGCGGGTTTTCCTGCGGCTCCGCCTCTTTCAGCAGATCACTCGGGTCCCTTAAGTGGCTGGTTCGATCTTCTCTTCGAGTCTTCGTGTTTGGTCTTCCTGACTCGAGTCTATTACCACTTGTGTGGTGAGCAGGTGGCTTCATTAATGGTGTCCCACCTGCATGCTCCGTCCCTAGAAGGAAAGTGAGGGACTCTGGATTTGTTCTCAAGATAGAAGATGGTTACTGGAGACTTAATTGTGAGCCCTGTGTAGGTGTGGGTCTTTTTATTCTTTTATATATCTACATGTTCCTGAAGGCACTGTTCACACCACCAATCAAACACCTTAAAGTGCCATGTTCATTGCAGTAGTTAAATAAAGCTAAAAAAATTACAATAATCATATCAGTGTAAATTATTGTCACATTAATGTAATTTGTCTGTTTTGCAGATTACGTGAATGTCCAACTGAGTATCAACAGGAAAGTGTTCCTGCATTTGCTCTGGCATGTTGTCTGTGGGAGATTGTACCTTCTAGAGGCGAGATTTGGGATTCTGAAGCTATTCAAATATTTGCTGAACTCATAAGTGGTGTTACATTGCAGTTACTTATCATTGAATATGTCAATATTGATAATTTCATTAAATGCAAGGTAAGCAATGTAAATATCATGTTAATGTATTGTAAATGATAATGTTTAACTCCTAAAAGTTGACCAGTGATCCAATGGTTATTACTGTATTTGTAATTGTTTAGACAAGAGTTCACATTTTGTACTGTACAGTATAGTAAAGAAGATTCCAGTATGTTTTGCAGGTTCTAATCATGATTTTCCAGCCAAAGGTATTTGTCTTATGATCAACTGATTTCACAACAGTGTGTGGTTTTGTGATGTGTTGATATACTTGTTTTGGGAGCAAAGTCTTCATGTTTTGTTGAATTGTTGTTTTTGTTGTAAAATAACATTATACATCTAATTTGTATAATGAATCTTGCTGAAAAATTCAAGTGGTTGATGTAGTTTGATCACAGACAGTTTGTTCCATATTTGGCTCCTAAACAGGTTGAGACATTTGAGCACATTCCTTACACTTGATGCCTTCGTTCACCTAGTAGCTTGCATTGGAGTGGATGTCACTGCTACCCCTTTCCTTACTCTTTCTCGGGTTTTGTTTCACATCCCGCCTGCTCATGCACCACCTAAACCGTCTTGGACCCGGGTATGGGGGGGGGGGCTCTCTTTTTCTCTCATTCTCTCTTCTCGGTTTGTCATGGTCTCTTCGGTTGATTGTTTCCAGAAGGCTCTGTTTATGTTGACATTGGCCTATAGGGGTTGGGTCAGTGAGCTTTATGCTCTCCTCCTTCGCAGAGGTTTCTGCTCTTTGGGTCTTAGTGGCATTTTGATCAGTTGCAGCCGTCTCCTTTTTCAGAGGTGGGCTTTTGGGGCGAGCCTTTGGTTTCGTGATGGTTGTTTGGTCAGGCCTGGTGCATTATGTGTTGTGTCTAGTGGCAGCTCTGCACAGTTACTTGTGCCCCTCGGCTTCTGTAGCCGGGAACGCACTTTGGGTTGACCTAATTTTCCTCATTTCCTGTTCCAGGCCTCTCTTCATATGTCTCAGGTCGTCCACAGGGTTATTAACCCTTAAATGGCGTATGGCTATATACCATTTGATACCCACAGGCGCATACAAAAAAGAAAAAAAAAAAAATCTTTTTTTTCTTCCTAACCTATTAATTTGTGTTCACTGATCATGGGAAAAATAATAAAAAAAATCGTAAGTGGCATATATTGCCTGCTATAGGGCGGGGAAGTCTGGCAAAAAACTCAGTGTGCGTCCCAGCCGGTCTGTTGCTTGCCAGCTGTCAGGCCGGAGTTGCCACAGAGATAATAACTTAATTATTTCAATATGTCTGATTGATTTTTCGTAGTTTTTTTTTGCTGTAATATTATTCAATAGTGTGTAGTGTGATATATTTATATAATAAAATGAGTGAATCATCACTGTACTCAAAAATATTTTGTGCATATTGTTGATTCAATTATGTTCATCAAACAGTGAACAAATACTTTGTCGGTTATTACACTATATACACAGGTTATATATAAGTATCTGCATGTTTTGTTCACCATAACGAACCACTAACTTGCTATTATGAGTCAAAAAGTAACGAGGAGTGACCGCCACACACCAGCCAGCCACTCACGCCCTCCTCTACACCTCACTCGCCCACATTCTCCTCCCACCATACTGTTTTTGCTTTTATTCACTATATACAGACGTTATATATAAGTATCTACATTCGTGTTCACCATAACGAATCACTAAGTTGGCATGCTGGGTGGCAGTGGCAGTCCGCCACTGGCTGCTACTTCCTCCCTCCCTCAAGTCACCCAACTCACCCACATTCTCCTCCCACAATACTATTTTTGCTTTTATTCACTATATACAGACGCTATATATAAGTATCTACATTCGTGTTCACCATAACGAAGCACTAAGTTGGTATGCTGAGTGGCAGTGGCAGCCAGTGGCAGCCCGTAACTGGCTGCCACTCCCTTCCTCCCTCACCTCACCTGACTTGCCACAATTCTCCACCCACCATACTGTTTTTGCTTTTATATACATACGTTATATATAAGTATTTACATGTTTTGTTCACCATAACTGTACATCTAAGCTTGTATGGTGAGTAAGGACACAAAGACGTAGCTACTCACACAGTCAGCTGGTGGCGGCCGCCCTCAAGGCCAGACGCACTAATATTTCTCCTCCAACAATACTGTTTGTGGTGTTATTATGCTATATACACACATTATATATAAATATCTACCTGTTTTATTCACTATACTTGTACAAGTAAACTGGTATGGTGCCCAAAGACCATCGTGGTCACCAGTAAACATGATAAATCGTGCAGACGATGCCAATGCCCTCACCAAAATGGCGGCTCCCAACCTCCTACTCTTGCTGTTTATACCCTCTATACACACGTTATATATAAGTATCTACATTTGTGTTCACCATAGCGAACCACTAAGCTGGTATGGTGAGTGCAGTCAATAAAAGGTGGCCACACACAGTCAGAAGACAACGCCACCACCCTCCCTCCCACAGCATTACTCCTCCCTCCATGGAGCATAGTGCTAAATATCACCACAATCCTGCTATTATCAGAACCCTGGTCAGTTTTATCACAGTCAGGGGTCTTCTGTAATAATATCATCGCTACATAATAGCATGAACAAGTATATTATGGCATTTTTAGGTGATGCTGTGGTCACAAGCTGAATAGCAGTGCTGTGAGTTCATGCTGCGTGCGTCAGGCTTGGTTGCTCACTCAATACTGAGCCCAATAACACCCGGGAGTTTGGCCCACGATTTTTTAAAATAATGGCGTCTGTTTACAAGAGCCCTGATGAAGGTGTGGTGAACCCCGTGTATCCGCGGGCCGTTTAAATCTTGCGTAGTACTCCAAAGCATCATATGATGCGATGCGCAATTTAAGGGTTAAGTCCAGAGGCAGGGGGTTTGGAGGACGGTTCAACCCTGGTTCCTAACGTGGAGGATCCCAAGGCTGGGAAGGAGTTGACTTGGGGGAACTTGAGATCAGTTTGACCCCACTTGTGTGTTGGTACCCTTGGCACAGGGGAGGGGAGATTGTTACAGGGGGAGGGGTTTCTTATTCCCTTCTCCCTGTACGAGTTTGATACGAGTTTGGCTCCTCCCTGGATTTGGTTCCGGGTTCCCTTTGGTTCCTCGGTTCCCTCTTTACGGAGGTTTTTGGCTTCCCACATCCTGCTTAGAGAAATGCAGGAGGCCATTGTGGCTTGCCTCCTGCAAGACCCGGATTACGCCTCGATAATAGATCCTTTTTCCTTCGAGTTTGTCTCCTCTTTTCCTTACTGGGTTCGTTTACGAGGTGCCGGAGTCTTCCTGGCTGGCAAACTGCCCTTTCTTTTCGTTGGGGGCGTAGCATGCGTTCTATTGGACCCATATGCTTGAGTGGCAGGAGTCAACTATGGTTTACCTGGTTTACCTGGGGGGTGAGTTGGAGCACCTCAATGTGTGCTTGTTTGTCCCTGTGCTTCCTCGCGATGTCGGCCAGGTACAGCTTCAGGTGCAGGTTCCCTACCTTTCAGTGTCCCTGGTAGCTGAGGATTTGCACGCCCATTGGGATTTGGATTCGGTCTTGCAATTATTTTCTCTGCTCCAGCTGTCTTTGGACTGGCTTTAGGAGGAGTCAGAGGAGCTGGGTTCCGGCCCAGCATCTGGTGTGCTTGCCTCTGCGGCTCGGCCGTCGTCTGTCTTGTTGAAATTGTTTGCGCCAATTCCAAAGGAAGCGGTGTCTCTGGTTTATGCTTCTCGCCTTGCGTGCCGACAGGTGGTGCTTGTCCACTCTTTGGAATCAGCTTGGGCCCTTGGGCTCTAAGCTTTTCGTCCCCATTTTGTCGGTTGCTGTTTGCAGAGTCTGTGGTGGTGCATTTTCTGTAGACGGCTTTGTCTAGTTGCCGGCCTATCTCAGATTTGTTGGTCCTCGGTGGGGGGGGGGGGATTGGAGTCCTGCCCGGAAGGGTTGTGCCAAGGCTCGGGGTTCCTTCGGTCGATGTAAGCCAGTAGTGCCAGATTCGGGGCAGGCCCCTCCTGCGGAGCAGTCAGTGTCTAGTCAGCACAGTGATTTCTAAGCATCTGTCGGGCTCTCGTAAGGGTCCTCGGCTTTTGGCGGTTCAACCTGTTGACAGGGCTATGGGGGAAAAGCTCACGCTGTTTGCTCTCACCTGGTCCCATGATTCATTGGCATTTCGTGTGGTTTCTTCCAGCCTGCAATGGCATTGGGTGGGTGGCTCCTCCTTAGGGAAGTTCGGGGCTGGCAGGGTAGGTCTCTTTCCCTGCACTCAGTTGGGTCATCCTGGAGTGGGTATGCTTGGGCATGGTCGAAACGACGGCGTCCCTCAGGTGGGTTTCCCGCCTGTTTCCAGTTCCAAAACAGGACTGTGCGGATTTGAGGTTCATTCTGGACTTGTCCCGTCTGAACCCCTGGATTTCTTGCCCCACCTTTCGGATGAGCACTCTCTCTCAGGTCTGGCTGCTTTTGAAGCTGGGTGCTTGAATGGTGTCCCTGGACTTCAGGGATACACGTCCCACTTCATGCGGGGTTCAGGGACTGGCTTGGTTTTGTCATGGGGCGGTATGCTTACAGCTTTCGTTTCTTCCATTTGGCTTGAATCTGGAGCCTCGCATATTTACATGCCTTACCCAGGTCGTTATGGCCCTTTGTGTCTGTTTGAGGTTCGGGTTCTGGCTTACCTTGACAAGTAACTGGTCTGGGCTTCCAGCCAGTCCACATGTCTGCTCGCCAGAGATTTGGTTCTTTCCCAGCTTGCTGGGTTCGGGTTCTTGGTGAACTGGAGGACGTTCTATTTGGTTCTCTCTCAGGTTCGGACTTGGCTGGGTCTTGTGTGGAACTCTTGGACTGCTTCCTTGTGTCTCCCTCCAACGGCATTGCTGTAGCCGCAGTCCCACCTTCGGCTGTTTTTGGAGGGTACCCGCGTCACTCGTCAGTTGCTCGAGCAGCTGTGCAGAAGTCTGAACTTCGCTATGCTGGTCTACCTGTCGGGTCGAATCTGGCTTCGGCGGCTGTTCTAGTTCCTTG